TTGTTATGCTGCATCGTTAACAACGGCGGCTAATTCCTCGCTTCTAACCAGTGTTTTCACTGCTGATTAAATTGCTTCCAAAGCCCACAAGAATGTTTAAAGTAGAAACTATGGAAATGAACCAATTGACCTCTTCTTCTGACCCTAAAGATCTCCACGCCCTGTGGGAGCAGAAACTGTCAGGCGGCACCAGAGTCGGAAAATCAAAGGGATCTGTTCTGTTATTAGAGACCTACTGCCACTCCTCCTGCACGGCATACGCACTGTCACACAGCTATCGTTTCAAATGAGCCTTTATGCGAGTATGTCAAATGATTTGTAGACAAATATGCAGTTTATGTCCTTTAGTTGGTTTGATTGCAACAACAAATTGAACTAGAAAAGGTGTGTCCATGAGTGTGTGTTTGGTGTGTGTGTGTGTGTGTGTGTGTGTGTGTGTGTGTGTGTGTGTGTGTGTGTGTGTGTGTGTGTGTGTGTGTGTGTGCCCTGGTGGGCAGTCCAGCAGGGCGATTATGTCCTGTAGGGATAACCTGTCATGGTGCTGAGAGCCTAATTGATGCCTGATGCTTTTCAGGGGGCAATTATAGCGCCCAAATGTCAAGCCCTAATTTGTGACTGTGTAATGTGGACACATGGGCCAGAGGAAGGGGTGCCACGGCCGCTCCGCAGGGACTCACACACTGTTGGGTCAGCAGATGTGAGCAGATGGGGGAGAAACAGCAAGAAGAGACTGAGAAAAGCTTACCTTAATATCAAGATTATTTGAAACAACTTTAAGTAAACCACTTTCTAATACTAATAGTTGCAATACAACAATATAAACAATGCTTTGATGCAAGTTAAAGTCCTGCATTTGAGGTTTTAACACTTTTTATTTTCCAAAAAAATAGAGATGCATTAAAGTTGCATGTGGCAATATTCTAATTTTCAATGATCACGCCACACGGTGATATGTTGCTGCTGTCGTCAGCTCTAAAGAACATTTCGGTGTCTTTCAACTTATTGGCTTTATTCTACTTCACTGTTTTGGTTTACTTTCACCATTCTCATCAAAGGATCATACTGTATGTTTTGTACTTAAAATCAAGTATCAAACTAAACTAGGAAAGTAACTAGGAACTCTATTTGTCATGTATACGTTTGCTCTGCAGTGTAGAATAAGTATACATGTATAAATAATAATACAAGTTGTTGTCAACCACTGCGTCTCATGAGTAAACTTAAAGAAGTTCTGATATCATCTTGACATCCATGAGTATACCATTGTTGTGGCCTTACCAGTTCCTTTGGTTAAATGTAGGCTCCTCTGGTGTTAATATTTCATTTTTAATGTACAATCATGGAATGTACATGTTGTTATATCAACCAAGAACTTCATTGCAAACTAATTAAATAATATTTAACGTTAAACAAAACACTGTCAAACCCTGTTATCTTGATAAGCAAATATCACATGACTTCAGTCCTATCACATTTACCTCCTAGAGACCTGTCTCTGTGTCTGTGTGCATTATGGGATGCTTCAGATGCCTCCTTCAGTTACTGTGTGTTCAGATCTCTTTAGTTAAACAAAATGTCACTCAGTGGCTGGCAGGGGCTTCAAACGCACCACAGTGTTGTTCTCTCCAACTTCGACATTGCCCGTCTTCTTCTTTCTCTTTCCCATAACACCTAAACAGTGCTGTTTTCTACTATTGTCTCCATGGAGATGCAAACAGACGGTCATATTTTCCACCGGAGTTGACAGATAGCGATGTTGAGTGTCAGTAAAACAGGTATGTTGCTCTAATTGCTGCTTGCGGAAGGTAGACCGCAAAATCCTATGCTGTTTAAAAGTGATTTAACTCAACCGAATACAATGTAGCAAGTGTTAACCATGATTTTATTTTCACACCACAAAACCTACAGGATAGACCAATGTATATTTTGAATTGACTGGCTTCAGATTTCCCCTGAATGCCTCTCTCTGGACTCGAATGAGAGCTGAAAAGTATCAAGCGGCTAATGCTATACTTACACTTCTGCCGTAATCCCTATAAACACACATGCAGCTGATAATTTGTGCGCACAGCAATTTACTAAGGAATAAACAAACAACAAAGAGCCTGAAATCAATAGTTGCAGGATTCAAATGACACAAAGCTGCAGACACCATCCCTGTGCAAACACACTCTTAGAAGTGGCCATGGCTTTGCAGCAACAGGTGAGCTTCTCGGCACCTCCCCTGTCTTCTGCAACGCAGCCTTCTAAATATAGAAATTATGCTCTCTGATAATTGGGGGCAGACAACAAAGCCGGCTATATTTCCACCCTCCTCCTCCTGATGCTGCTGCTGCTGCTAAGTCATATCCCCAGCTGACAAACAGCAGGTCTGAGATCAGAGTGTGAGAGCTTGAGTGCTGAGGGAACACCTGCGCCGTCTGACCGGACCGTGAAGATAGACACTGAAGATCACTGACTTCCACACCTGCCCCATGGACCCATGCCATATACACACACACACACACACACGCACACGCACACGCACACACACACGCACGCACGCACACACACACACACACACACACACACACACAGGCACACACTTGATTGGGTTTCCTCGAGAGCCCTTTAAGGTCGCCGCTGAGGAGGCGATGAAAGTCCGGGAGTGTCCATTAAGCGTGTGAGACGGCCCTACAGAGTGTGTGCGGATGAGGGGTTTAAGTGTTTTCAGAGAGGAGACCACCTGGAGGGGGGGAACAAAAGCATCTGTCTCAGGGCCTTGTAGACTCAGAAAACATCGGTTACACAAGTGCCGGGGAGTACTTCTGGGCATCAGGTATCACAAGTCAGGATTTCCAGCTTGTCTAAAGGGATGACCTTCAAAATGGGGGTTGAAGAGGGGGTGAAGGTGGTTACAACTGCAAAAAGTCTGCTTTTTAATTGCACAAGGGTGGTGGAAGGACCCCAAAATCTTGAATGAAGGCTTGTACACACTTTCAATTTGTGGGTTAGGGTTAGGGTTAGCTGTCAAAAAGATCCAAGAGAAGAAAGGAGAAGACTCTCACACACTTTCCGTTTACCTGCAATGAACTTAATTAGAAAATATGGTTTGGTACTTTGCAAGATAAAAGGTAAAAGGACCGAAAACCAAGACTGACTTAATTAATTCCTTATCAAGACCAAATCCAAAGTGGATCGAGACCAAGTCCAATCTGAATCCGGAACTATTTGAGTCCTGTACAAGACCATAAAAGTCAAAATTGTCTTTCCGATCCTAAGTCTCTGCTTTCTTGAGCAACTGCGCAATCACATTGGGACAATAGCTCATTTTGATAATGCAGGCAAAATAGTACACAACAGACTAGTTGTAATGAAGGTATAAATGTAGCAAAGTTAAAATCCCATAATGCTTATTCAGTTTCTTTATGCTTCACACCCAAAACAATTCCGAGACCAGAAAGGCACGAGTCCAAGACAAGTTAAATACTTTGACGTGACTGAAACGTTGTATTTCTCAATAAAGTTGATTGCAGGTAAAAACAACAGTGTGCAAGAACTGTCTGGTATCTTGAAAATGACACAACAACAAAGAAGCTGCAGGTCAAAGTCATGGCCGAGTATTGCAGCAACACGCTCTTCAGTTTGGGAAAGATAGGACGGGACAGGAATGAAGCACGCCCCGTCCATCAGTTTCACGCTTGTTAACTTTTATCTGAAGCTAAGGAAAGACGAGCAGTGACAGCATCTTTCCGAAAACAAGCGGCAGAGTCCTGTTTCATGTTGTTAAAGGCTTGGCGTGTGTTTACCCGCTGGACGGGGGATGTCCACGCGCACGCAGGTTATAATACACTGGAAGGTGCTGTCATTAATTGACGACAGAAGATGTTCAAGGTGTGCAGATGGGAAAGTCCCACAGTATCACGGTGCAGACAGGAGAGAGTTGGCTGGTTGATACACCCCCGCTGGCTCGCCATCACACGTTGAGATCACAGGCTGAGCTTTCATGCTTCGACACAGATCTTTCCTCAGCCGTGGAGGAAACTGTGCACGCTTCTCAGAAATAAATGAGTAATTCAGCTGCTTTGTACCTCCTATCTCCAACTTTTGGTTAGCTTGTTTTTGGGTACAAATGTTGTACACAAATATACACTTTACAAGACATTTCCCCATCATTCTCAAACTGTCAGCAGAGGTTACTTAATCCTTATCGCTCTGACCTCCACTTTTATACAGCTGCTAAAGTTGCGAACTCGAGCTAAAGGTCAGATTTTATTTGGTCCTGATCATGTTGTTGCTCGGCCTCTACGTTCAGGACAGGGCCTTTGAAGTTTTATGCATGCTCCAGGTCTACGACTCCATTCTCGGCATAATGGCGTCCATAAAGAAAGACAACATAGGTCTCGTAAGCCGGTTTATATGTTTAAACTCTGAAAGACAAAGGCAACCAATAAAGTTTGCTTGTCTTAAATACTGCTCTGTTAAAATAAAAATATGGGTTGCTTAAGGAAACATTGGTAATAAGTTGACACCAACAAAATACCCTCATTTATAATCAAATAGGCTGACAAAAAAAAGCATTTTGATCACATTTTGAACAATTTATTGTTTGATAAGTCAATTTGTTGACTTCAGATTCCTCCTTTAACACATGTAACAGTAGTTTGGTTAGAATTAAAATGTCAACATTACAAAGATTATTTTTTAAATTGATTCACAATTGCCATATTGTGATAAAAGGCACATTTTATCACATACATGGGGCTGTTTCCAGATGTTGCCAATATGTTTCATATTTTTGAACTGATTACAGTATCTCACTATAGCTGAGCTTTTTTCTGAATAAAAGACATAATGGTACAGTGTCTCAGTCTTTATATAATCGATAAAGTCTCTAGTGGGTTTTCCTATATTGCTTGTATCTAACTGTAAAAATATATATTCTCAAATAAATAAATATATAACATAAATATATGTATCTAAAAATGAATAAATAATTTGTTACACTTTTTGCTCTTTACAAACAGGTTGAGACAAAGGTAAGAAAACAAAATAAAACTGAATTCCTTCAAGGTCCTTCTGAACAATTGACGGCTCTCTGACAAAATTAAAGTACTATTTCATGACTCGACAGATTCCCATGGACCCTGTGTGACCAGAGGAGATGCCCCATGATCAGCTTCCCATTCATCTCCTATTCCACGTAGGTACTTTAAGGGTCGTCCGGCCCTGTGAGACAAACAAGCCCCTCATGCCGAGCGTGAGCCGTCTTCCTGGCTGCTGAGAGATGGCCCATGCATTCCTACAAGAGGCCCCGGTGCCTTTATCCCTGCCGGTCGGGCTGCTGTCCCCCAGCCTGCACCAGGCACACCCCTGCCTGGGTCCCTCTCCTCTTCTCTGCTCCCTGCCTGCCAGGGCTTTAGCAGCTATTCCTGAACTGGACCGGGCTCCCAGACCTCAGCTGTGTCCCAGGATATCCCTGTACAGCTCCGGCACGCGGTCAGGGTCCACAGGCCTGGGCAAGAAGTGTGTAAATTTCTGGTGCCGCCTGGATTTAGTCCCGTCCCTTGGTGTCCCGTCTTTATTTAATGCCACAAAGTAACGCGTCCCTCTGTCTCCGTGTTTGTAGAGGTTGGACGAGTATGTGTTGTACCAGTTCTCCTCAAACTGCTCCCTGAAGACACATTCAGCTGAGAGCTTCTCCTGAAAAAGAACAGAGTGGTGCAGAAAGTAAACACATATTCCTAGTTTCTTTTAATTTACATCCTGAACTAAATTCCCGAAACTTGATAAATAACAAATAAAGCTCCTTGTGTGCCATCAAATGGTCAAAAATAAGGATTTGGGTGACATTAACAAGCAAAGCAGGTACTTACAGATCCATACAGCTCTCCTTTGTCGTTCATCCCCAGATAGAGTCCACTGTCCACCCCTCGAATGCTTATCAACCCAACAGCAAGGCTTATGAATTCCAAAATACCTGGAGAAGAATAACACAGGTGCTCAGTACAGACTTTGACAAGGATGAAAGAATATTATAAAATAGCTCGTTTTATCACAATTTATATATTTTAAAAAGAAGAGAATTATATGACGAGATTGTTATTGGCATTATTCTTATTCACCATTTTCTTGTTGCTTAACATTTTGATATTTGTATAAATGTGGCCATGCACTTTACTTCCTTCTAGTGTTTGCTACCAACATATATACAAAAATGAATCTCTCAGTATTTACCAAAACGACTGTGGTCCTTCCTCGTCCCTTGCACCGAGCCATCCGGAAGTATTTCCAGGTGAAATCCAGTCCTGCAGTATAACTGTCTCCTCCTGAGAATCCCTTTGAGGTGCGTTAAATCCGCCGCGGTGCTGCGCGAGAGCCTGTCCCCGGACATCATGAAGTGCTCCCCCAGAAGGGTCGGACTGTCCCCGGGAGGGGTCAGTAAGAAAGTGGACCCGACCTGTGGGACACCATCGATGCCGTGCAAGACGCCTCCAACTTCCCCCAGAGCAGCAGCCATCGCGTCAAAGCTCAGCGGGTAAAGTTCAGTGAGGAGGTCCGGAGCGAGCGCTCGTGCGTAGTACACTACCTGGTTGCCACTTATTGCATGTTTACGTCCCCCGTTACTTAGCACATGCACCCGTTGTGTGATTACACGGAGTTCTCACCCCTTACATATAAACACTCACAATATCTCCGCTAGTGGGTGCACTGATTTATCTCTTTTCTCCTTTTTCACACCGCTGCGTCTTCATCAGTTGGGGGGGGGTATGCTGCAGTTTCCGCTCAGATAACCCTTGTATAGCATACCTGTTCACAGCGTGATGCCTCAGTGGAGCCGTGAAGGGCACACGCCAGTGTTGGGTTCAGTGGTGCGGGCTGAGGAAACGCTGCAGTGCAGGTACAGGAGCTCCTGGAGGGTTTGCGCTCAAAGTGGCAGGGGTGGTGAGGCAGGTGCAAAACCACAGGACTAGTAATGGGCGGGGCTGTCACAGTTCAGACGTGCCCTGGCAGGGATTTTTCCCCCTTCTCCTAAGGGCATATACAGAGAGAGAGATAGTTGTTGGTGGGCTGTGGGTTTATACTAAGCTATTACATCACTTAAAACCCAAATAAAAAATGTAACCAAAAAAATATGACACTTAAAATCAATATGAGACATAAGAAATAGGTCCGAGTGTGTTTCTATGTTTGTCTAAAGATTTGAACATTTCCTTCTCTCTCACGAATCTGACGCCTTGTAATCCCAGAGCGACTTGAAATACACACGACATATCTCGCGAGCTCGGAGCAGCAGCAGCAGGCAGCTTGAGCGCGAGCTGCTCTTAGCCGTGAGTGAGTGTGTTATCGGTTACGACACCTTAGTGTAAACAGCCATGGCTGCCCTGCGCAGGCTTATCCCTTTACTCACTAACAGCTTCAAGACAGGGACGTTTACGACGCAGAAAGCAACGAAAGTGTGGAAAGTTGTCTCCGTAGGAACCGCTGCGACCGGGGCTGCTTACTATTATTACTACTGCTGCTCGTACAGGCGCTCCGGCTTGAAGAGCCATGTCGAGGCTCGACTCTTTCATCTGGCGCTGCCATCAGTCTCTGCCACCGATAAGGTACAGTGGGACATTTGCCAAGCTGCGCAGCTTCATTTATCTCACATATTATAGTCACCTAGTGTCGTGTAAAAACCCTTCCATTTTCCTTTCATTTGTGTCTCAAATGAACATATGCTGACAATGGTCGGGGCATCTACATTTCCATCACAATTAGCTTTTATCATATTGTGTGCACGTGAAACTACATTAATGTGACGTAGTTACGAGGAGCTATCCCGACCTTTGGTGCTGAACAGGCAAAATAGTCAGATCACGTGACCTAATTGCTACCATAAGTGAGGGGGTTGCCTGCGTTTTCTGCTTAGGCCTATATGTCGTATAATAACTAAGTATTAGCCTTGGGAACATTAAGAGGAAAAACACATGGTAGATATGTTTACAATACACTGACTTCATGGTTTGTATCAGCTGGACTAATTAACAACATACATGTAATATTATAGTCTTTCAAATAGCTGGAGCTTTGAGAAACCATTAATGTTATGTTCACATTACTGTATATGAGAGAGTTTTTTAATTCAAATGTATTGTTCATTTTGGAGATACTATATTGTTCTTATCGTACACCCTTTATCAGGGACGTGCACAGACATTTGGAGGGGCTATTGCTCTAAACTGGAAAAAGGGCCTCCCCCCGATAAAAAACATAAGACCTTTTGAAAATTGTAATTTGTTTTTAATGTAAAAGAAACCAAACGATTATTACATCAACTAAATTGAACAGTAATTCACATCTCATAACAAAATAAGCTAAGGCGACTACTTGCATTCGGTGACTTGATTTTAAAAATGAAAACATGGGACATTTTTTGTTTTGCGGTCCATATCTCATTAAAATGTCTAATGTTAGTAACTATTAAAGACAACATGCAGACAATTCTGTTCTAATGTAGTTTGACCAGACCATTGTAACTGCTGTGCAGTCCAGACATACTGATAAAATAGGGCTTCTAACTAATTACCTTAAATAAACTCACTAATTAATGAAACCAGTTCAATACGCATTATTCTTATTCTTATCATTCATTATGAGTAAGGTACAATTACTTATTTATTTAGTATTCCATAACTTAGTAACAGAGATGGTCAAACTGAAGTGGTAGAGACATGGCAGAAATCCTACAATGAAGCGGTGCAGTGTGTTCACTCGTGAGAGGGCGATCAAGAAAAGAGAGCGAGCGGCCCCGTTGAGGGAGTTTACAGATGAAAGGACACAGAAAGAGAGAAGCACAATAACAACAAGTAAGTAGGCTATATTTATGTGTTCTTTTGTAAATAACCGACGGTATCAAGAGGAAGTAAAGTCCCCTGGTTTATCCCTTATACCCTAACTGCCATGAGACAACTCAAAATCAAGTTTCCAAAATGAAAATCCGACACTGAGGTGGTCTTAACGTACCGGCAGATGACAGCGCTGACAAAGTGTGTTTCCCGCAGCGAGACGCTACAATACTGGGCTTATCATGTTGATTCGGCAACAACAGAAAAAAGAAAAAGAAACTTTCGCTCTCTCCAGAGGGGCAGGTCAGCCAAAAAGGCCAAACGGGCCGTTGCCCGGGCAACATTAGCCCGTACCTGTGCACGTCCCTGCCCTTTATGTATCAAGAAAGGTGGGCAAATCATATTAATTTATCCATTCCTTGTTCATTTGAATGATTCATAATTATAGAAATAAACACAAGACACTAGTGGTATCCCAACTTCCATGAGCTCAACGTGACATTGTCAGTTTTCTTGTTTTATTCAACAACATCTTCTAAATACAAAGTTATTAAATTTACAGCAGTCAATTAATCTATTAGTTATTCCAAGAAACTATCACTCTTTCCAGTTTGTATTCTCTATTTTAAGTAATAGTATATGACATTTGTTGACGCCACCTACTTCCATCAAACTGATTCATCCAAACAACTTGATAGAATCATCAGTAGTAAAGTAACCATTAGCTGCTGCCCTGAAGACCAGGAAATATTGGCACCTGTTTTTGAGAAACCTGTCACCTTAGTGATCAATTATTTAAAGTATTGTTCATGCATTACTTTTCTTTCCTATAATGAATTAGCTTATCTTTCCAACAGTTTTACAGAGTTATTAACATCAGGGTTGTAATGCTTTGATCAACACAAGTTATTGTGTCTACCCCCTGTCTATTACTCTCGATTGGCCTACATGCCAGCCCTGCTACAGCAAGTCTCTTGAGTTCAGACATTGTTAACAGGATTTCATAGATCACAGGGGATGTAAACAAACATGTCAACGAGGATCTTTTCACACAGCTACACACGTTTCCGTGTTTCATATTGGAGTGAGGAAAGCCTGCCTGCTGTCCATACAGGCAGCAGGAATCCAGGGACACAGGAAACTGGACACTGGCCTCTTGGCTGAGGGGCTGACATTTGATGAGAGGCGGGGGTGGTTAGAGGGGGTTTAATGGTTAAGCAGAGGGGGGCACACATTCCCTGGGTGTTTGCTCTGTGCCCAGTGGACCTGGCGCTGTGCCACCTGACAGAGAGATCCACTCAGTCCTCACCAGTCCTGCCTTCTGATCTGGCTGGTTTGAACAGTTGTAGGGACATTATCTGGCGCACAGGGATGAGAAATAGGGCTGACATAACATGCACCCCATTACTGAACGAAAGCATCGGCCTCTTTGTTGTTCCCTGTGAGCGAGGCCCTTCGTGACAAGACAAGCTTAACAAAAAGCATCTTTCAGACGGTATTATCACTGTACAGATGATTTGAAGTATTTCATGATAGTGTGTGTGTGTGTGTGTGTGTGTGTGTGTGTGTGTGTGTGTGTGTGTGTGTGTGTGTGTGTGTGTGTGTGTGTGTGTGTGTGTGTGTGTGTGTGTGTGTGTGTGTGTGTGTGTGTGTGTGTGTGTGTGTGTGTGTGTGTGTGTGTGTGTGTGTGTGTGTGTGTGTGTGTGTGTGTTACAGGCACGGACCTATGGTTTGGACGATGGAGATGTGTACATGTCGACCAATGAAAACAGATTTCGCCAGTTCAGTTCGGTAGAGCACGAGGGCCAGCTCTACATGACGCCACTCAACTTCCTGGAGTCCGTCACTTTGAATCAACCAAAGAGTGAGTGTATTCCTATTACTCAGCTCCTTCCAATAATACTGAACACCCCTTGGGTGGAAGAAGATTAACCAACAACAGTTTTCACGATTCATTTATGAATTGTTTTATAGCTTCTTAAATCGGAGTGTTTTTCTCTCGTCCATTGAATTCTCTACATTTATTTTGATGAAACAGATCAAGGTCTATTTTAAGGTCCTGTTTTGTTCTTGTTAAAACACCATTTTGTGATTTCCTAATAAAGTTCCTGCTTCTTTTCTTTTTCGAAAAGGCAGAATAAAAAGACCTTGCAATTATTAGTTAACGTATCTTTTAAAATGAAAGTCATTTGTCGTGCTAAAATGTCAGAAAATGCTGTTTCCAGTCCCTCAAACATGGAGATTGACTGCTTTTTTCTGTTTTAAATCATATTGAACTGACAAAACAAGACATTGAAAGCCATTACCTTTGACTTCAAAATATTTGGACAGCCTTTTTTTAAATTTTCTGAAATATTATGGACTGTATGATAAATCAAGAAATGAAGTTGCAGATGAATCGATGCTGAAGATAATCCTTTTCTGCAGGCCAACGTTTCACTACCTCCCAACTAAATGTCCTTTTTTCAAATGAGTTTAGCTCAATCATTCTTTCAGAGTGAAATAAGTCCATTTCCTCTCTAATGAGCAACCATTTACCTAATAACACTTCTGTCAAGTCATCAGATAAACCCGCTTTTCTCCACTTAGAAAAAAATAGGTGTTTTTTCCTGGAACTTGACATGTTGCTGAGGGCCTGTGAAGTGTCATCCTCAGACAATAAGTTGCAGCTTGCAGAGCTTCAGTCATAACACCTGCATAAAGATAGGCATCTTTACCAGCAACCCCATTTTTATGGCTCATTTATGTGGCAACAAACTCGCAGAGACTCGGAGCGACCAAACAACTGTCATAAATGTACCGATAACACAT